TTAAACAGATACAGTCAGTCAATTAATTCTGGATTCCAGTCAGTCAGTTCAGTATTTTAATTAGTTCAATTATCAGTCGTAATCAGTTCAGTTTGACGGTAATCAATGTTTATCGGTAAGCAGTGGTGAGGGTTATTACAGGGGTTGATGTTCTGCTACTTTGGTATGTTGCCTGCGGTCACGTATGATTCGGCCTTAAGGGACATCACTGGGAAAGCGGTCAATCCTAAACTAAATGGCATGAGTGCAAAGGGAAGATCATCTAGTATTACACCACTGTTGTATATTCACTGCCGGCAACTCACATCGCTCTGTATGAGAGGCGAATTGAGTGTGAATATATTGCAAGAATTGAGAGGGTCAAACATGCTCTTTTTGAGGGATTAGAGATGTTTTTTGGACCGGTGTAATTAGATGGGTCTGGGGTATATGAGACACTATTTCTGTTCTTTTTGGGTTGATGTCTCTATGCTGGCTCATTTTGAGTTTCTAGTATAGAGCTCCCACATGCAGGTGTTTTCAGCAGTCGCACGGCGTAGTGGCTAATATGAGATTGTTTATTTTTTTGGGAGATTGAGATAGAGATGTGACAGTGTCATGCCAACTCATGTGCGAGTGGGAGATGTTAGAAATTGGGCGCCCATGTGGCATAACCCTTTTAAACCTTATCCATGTAAGTTTGAATTTGAATTCAAAACTTATTTGGATAACCACTCAGGATATCCATATCTATCATATCAACTGATATGGATAGATGAGATATTATCTTATATATCTAATATGATATGGGATATGAGTGATTAAGAGAAAAACAACGTATGTCATATGTTTTTCCCATATATTGACTCTCTCCCAAAATACAACGATCAAGAGTCATTTTGCACTGTGACTTGTGTGAGTGATATTTATTCTGTAATATCACTCCATTGCTGGGTTGATTGATCAGATTTAGGAAGCACGTGATTTACCTACGAGATCCTTCAATTCAGACTCTGTAGAAAAAGGTATGACCATAATTTTTCATCTACTGCGTTTATACTTTGTTTTACACGGACAAACGGCACACTAATCACAAGCTTGACCAAGCTCTGATTCCAAATTGAAAAACTCAACCCATACTTTTTCTTAAAACCCAAGTATTAAATAGAGAGAAATTGAAACTTTATAACTAACATAGATGGGACAACTCCAAATAATGTGAAATACATTCCAACACAATATTGGCACACGTCTCACAAACCTAGGTTAAGCATGTGTTAAAAATAATAACAACAATTAACACATGGTACTATCATTTCTCTACAATATTTTTCAATTGTCAATTGTCAATCAGTAAACGCCTACGAGAGCGATTGTTTTACATGAAGAAATATAACTCGGAAAATATAAGGTCAAATGTTGCGAAAAACAGTGGGAAAACATCATAATTTGGCTGGCTAAGTAAGTAGTGTTGCTTGCATAATCAAAGGTTAGTTGTCACTTCAGCCAGCTTAAGTGGCCCAAAATTGTCTCACATTTTAGTTCATGACTGATATGTTCATGAAGCTGACTCTTTATCTCCTATAACTAGCAACAGAAATATGGAGCTTCTACATTATTGAGATCAAATTACACAAAAAATAAAAATAAAAATAAAAATAAAAGGATGACAAGGTACTGAATTTTTGACTTGACGATAAAGATTAGACGAAAATGGAATTGGGGATATTTTTATTATTATTATGTCGAGGCAATTTTCATGTTGATTAGGATTGTGCACTCTTGTGGTCCAAAAAGTAGGACAGCTTTTCCCTATTATGATGACAATTTGCTTTTTTAAGGATGAGTTTAGGGCTCTAATTAGAAAGTTAGTTACATAAATATTACTATGAATGGCAAAGATACACAAATCAATGCTTACTTAATCTTAAACAAAACAAATACTAAATAAATTACAAAAAGAAATAATAAAGAGATACAGACTATATGCTATTTTTAGGGAGGACTGACAAGTCTTCAACACACGCACAAATCTTCAACTAGTGTATGTAATCAATTGATGCTCTCTACACTCTCTCTCCACGCACGTATCACGCACTCTACAGTCGACGGGTTGTTTGAAATGACCTAAATAAGTGTACTTTTTGTCTTTTTACGAAAAGATGTATAGAAAAGTAGAGAGATAATGTGATGAAAAAAAAATAAAAAGATAGATTATTTTTGAGTTGCCAAACTTGACCTAAATATAAAAAGTTACACAAGCTCATGAATTTATTACGATGATTCAATTAATTTATTTTATAAATTTTTTATATGTAATTTATTTAAAAAAAATTAAATTAACTTGCTAATATATTAAACAAAATAATAATACATGCATAATATATACATGATAAACGGCTATTTTTAAGAAAAAAAAAATACAGAACTACTCCTTTGTATTATATTATATTTTCTAACTATGGACATAAATATTATTAAATTATAAAAATTAAGTTATTACAATAGATTTTTGAAATTGAATACCTGACATAATAAATTATATATAAATTTTTAGTTTATTAAGGGCTAATTTGACACTAGACTCCAGTTTGGCATGTACTAAATAAGCCAAAAAGTCAAAAAGTCACTATCTTATTTAAGTCACATCATCTTATTTAAATCACATCACCTCTCTAACACATCACATCAAACCCAACCCAAACCCACCAATAAGTCAAAAAGTACACTTTTTTAAGACATCCCAAACCAACCCTAAAATTTCAATCATATAAAGTTCGTTCTCTTTTCAATCATATAAATTATATATAAATCATATAAATTGAATACCTGACATAATAAATTATATATAAATTGTTGTAGGTCATTAGGACGCTCCACGATGGCGCGTGGAGAAGAGATTATGAGGAGCTATTTTTATGTGGCTTGGCGGTGTATTAACTTTCCAAGGAAAGAGGGTATACACCAATGTACGGGCTCTTTTGGAAGGAGTAAAAAAAAAAATTAAAAATTAATTTTTAATCTATTTTTAAATCATATTATTTTATATATTTTTTACATATATTTTTAAAAATATTTAAAAAATTAACTTTTACCATCTTCCAAAAAAATATCTATGTACCAACCACAAGTTGTGAAACCAAACCGCCCCCCGTTATTGCGTGGTCATATTCCACGTAATCACTCTGACATGTCAGATTCAAACGCTCTCAACGCCACGTATGTGTGAGTGAACCCCCCCACTCAAACCATGTGAGTGGGCCCATTTCCAAAATGGCCACCCACAGGATCCTTCACGGGCCCAAAACACAAGCCTCCCTCCTATCCTACGTCCTGTTCACTGTTCGGGCCTCCTCCTCACCGTTTTTCCGTTATTTAGGACACACCACGTGGCCGTCATGTCAGTGTGGGCCCCCACCCCCTGTTTTTTTTTTTTTGGGAGAATAGAGTCCCTCTGTCATTGATGCGTTCCATACCCTCCTTCCTCTCTGAAAATTTATGAGTTTAAGAGCACCCCAACCCAATCCTCTCGCTAACAGAATGAAAATAATTTTTTTTATTTAAAAGATAAAAATAAAATATATTATTATTCATTTAAATTTCAATCATAAATTTTCATAACTCTTTATTTTTTATTCATTAAAAAGTAATTTTTATTCATTAATAAATATTTAATTTTAAAATTTTTATAAAATATATTTAATATTATATTCATTTTCATTTTAAAGGTATGATTTCATACTTTTTAATGATACCAATTTTATAAAAATTCAATTTACATATTAAAAGTTATTTGTAATATAAAAAAAATATATAGAATGAATAGTGTTTTGGAGGAGATCCTCTATTTTTCATCCTCCTTTTGGAGGAACAAATCCTTCAAATATGGAGGATGCATTGGAAATGCTCTAAAATTTGTTTTGAAAAATTGATTTAAAATATATATAAAATATAAAAAGATAATATAACTTAAAATAGATTGACTTGTAATCCGGGAAGTATCTAACTAACAAGATTAGTCCTATAGGCCACAACTCTTATTATAATTAGAGTCTTTTCACATGTATGTAAGATTTACTTTTTGGGTATTAATTAGGATTTTTTCTTTTATTTTGAAAGTTTTTGTGTTAATTATATGTGTTTTATTTGATTTTGATTACTATAATTTTAATTTATTAAATTTCATTACTATCTTATATGAATCAAATCAGAAAAAATACATAAAAATAAAATAAAAAACAAACTGTGTGTGATATCTCCCCATAAATAATAGGGTGTTAAATATCCATGTATATTAATGGAAAAATTATTTAACAGTGGAATCAAATTAAAAAAAAAAGAAGAGAGTACACAAACATGGTTAGTGCAAGTTATCTTATGATGGGATGCAACTCAAATTCTATTATATTGGCTTCATTTGGAAAGAAGAGTTGTGTTGGATTTAGGACTATTTTAGTTACAAAATGATAAAATAGACTTTTTAACTTAATAAGACAAAACATCACATTCAATTCATAATCATTATATTATTTTTCTCATAAAAAGTCAAAAAAGTCAAAAAATTCTTCCTAAACGAGGGCTTTTTAGCTCTAAACTAAAATAGACAAAAAGTAAAAAAAAATCAAAAAGCCAACCTACTTCCCAAACGAACCCATTGCGTAGTGATTTCACTTATATTAATCTTTTTAATTATGAAAATAGTATAAATACACTTTAAATTATTTTTAAAATAGAAAAAATCAAAATATATAATTTTACCAATAAAAAATAAAATAATATTCTCTTATGCTGTGTTTGATTGAGAAATTTGATAAGAGATTTGAAAAAAAAATAAAAAAATGTGTAAAACTATATAAAATGTAAATATACTTTGTTCACATTTCACTTTTTTTTTTTTCTTTCTAAATTTCTTTCCAAATCTCTCAATCATAAATAAATCCCAATAAAATCATATGATAATCCGAACTTACTAGATGATAAGCCGCTGCGCTCTCTCTCTCTCTCTTTTATTTATTCCGGCTAGTTGTGTGTCAGATTCCGGCTACTTTATCCATCTATATATACCCCCACTATCCTTTCTCTCTGGCCTTAGCGCACCCTTTTTCCATCTCTTTCCTGTGGCAACGGCCTCCACCACAACTACCCTTCATTCGCCTTTTAACAACAGAAACGGCGACATAGAAAGAGAGAGAATAAAGCGCGATAGCAATAACTCATTGGGTTTGAGACACAGAGAAGACGTGGTGGTGACTGGTGGGTTAGGCATTAAAGCGTACAAACTTGCCTAATCGTCACATACTCTCTCTCTCTCCACCGCCTTTTATTTTCCGCAACACCACTCACCTTACTCATCATCCTACGATAGCAACACAACACCCACACTCTCCCTCTCTCTCTTTCTCTCTCTCTAGAATCTTGGTGATGAACAGAGCTTTGCCTGAGATGCTGCACTGCCTAAACACGCCGGGAAATCTCTCCGGCAGCAGTGCGGACCTGAGCGTGCTCGAAAGACAACGAGCTCGCATCAAATGCCAACAAGAATTGCTTCTTCATCATCAACAACTACAACAGCAGCAGCAGCAGCAGCAACGTTATTTTGAGGGAAATGAATTGAACAGTGTCTTTTCTTTGCCAGCTCAGGGTCAGCAATTTCAGGGCGGTGATCATATGTCACTCAACGAGCTTATGACGCGTACAGTGAAAACGGATCCAGGCATGGAAAGCGGGTGGGCGGATTTCGGACAGTTCACCGGAGATTTCGGGTTTGGGTCCGGGTTCGAGATGAATTATGGCCTCTCCAGGACTACTAGCTGCCCGGCAGCAGCGATATCGGAGGTGCCAGTTACGGCTACAGCGGTGACTGAAGCAAAACAGAGAGACTCTTCTGTCTTGCCAGAGAAGATGAGCTTCAAGAAGAGAAAGGCTGAAAAGAACCACAACCTCAAGGTTTGTCTTCTTTTCTTTTGTTTTATAAATTGTGAGCATTTGATTCACTCACAATCAAAATAACAGGATACTTTTTAAGAGATTGAAGAAAATATATGTTTGGAAACTAAGAAAATTTGACACATATTCAGGCAGTAGCAGAAGAAGAAGCTTGTAAGGAAAAAAGGATCAGACGATGTACCGAAGAGGGAGAGTCGAAGATCACAGAGCAGAACAGCGACAACGACAGCAAGAACACCAGCAACAACAATAACAACAAGAGAGAAACATCTGCAGATACTTCCAAGGAGAACTCGAAGGTTTCGGAGGTTCAAAAACCTGATTACATTCACGTTCGTGCACGGCGTGGCCAAGCCACTGACAGCCATAGCTTGGCCGAAAGAGTACGTTCGAGTGTTGCCATTGAACTTATATATGTATTTAGATCTCTATAGTTGTAGATTGTACTAAATTTGTGCAATATATCTGTGAAATTGTGCAGGTGAGAAGAGAGAAAATCAGTGAGAGAATGAAATATCTGCAAGATTTAGTACCGGGATGTAATAAGATCACGGGAAAGGCTGGAATGCTTGATGAAATCATCAACTATGTTCAATCTCTTCAAAGACAAGTAGAGGTAGAAAACATAGTAGTCATAAACACTTGATTCAATTGTTGTTCTTAAGAAGGGTAAAGTGATGATCTTCCTATGTTGTTATTGTTGCCAAAACACAGTTCCTGTCCATGAAACTGGCTGCTGTAAATCCAACACTCGACTTCAACATCGACAATTTTGTAGCGAAAGAGGTAAAGAACACATCACAAAGTAGAAACATTTCAATGTTAACAATTTTCCAAAACATTTTAATGTAAACATTTCTATAAAACAGGTGTTTTCAGCATGCACATCCAATTTTCCAATCGGGGTATCATCAGAGATCGCTAATCCTGCCTACCTACAGTTTAATCCATTACAACAAATAGTTTCGTGTAGCGGGTTGGAAATGGGAATAAACGCTCCTGATATGGCACTTCGAAGAACAATCAGCGCCGCTGTATCGAGCCCTGAAACATTTCTCGATTCGTCCTGTTTCAATGTAATTTCTTCTACTATTAATATTTTCCCCCTCCAATCTGTATGTTATACATATATTTTTAAATTTCTCGCAAAAGTGTAATTCATTCACACTACAGCATATACAATCCTCATCGGCTTGGGAAGCCAATTTACATAACCTTCATGGCGTGGAATTTCTCCAAGGAAGATCACCATCATTTCAAGCCCAGCAATTTACAGGTATATAGAACCAACAAGTATTGTCAAATGTCAATCTTCAATTCCTGTTTCTAATAATTGTATAAGAGAGAAGTAGGGCTGCAATCGAGCCTAGTTGAACCAAGTTTTGTGATGTTCGAGCTTGGCTAGCTAAAAATTAGTCAAACTTGGCCCGAGCCAAGCAAGAGCTTGTGTTCGAACTTGAAAAGAAAAATGGAACCTAAATTAATATTGTTCATTTAGCGGAGGAGCCTAAAAAAATTGCTTGAGCTTCAAAAGAGTTTTAAACGAACCAAGTTCAAGCTATTCATGAACAACTTAGTTGGTTTGGAGCCTTACAAAGGAAGTAAGAAAAATGGAGCAAAGTGGAACTTACTACATATGAGAGAGACCATAGGGAACCCCACAAAAGGTTAATGATTTTTCTCAGGAATAAATGGGTCTTCTTTGAGTTATATCAAGAAAGCTGCCTATTAGGTATCTTTCTTTTTCTGTGTCTTCCACCTAAAAGGACCGAAGTCATCGGACCCTTTCGTTCGATGACCATAAATTCCCAAAACCATGAAAAATGAGTGGCGCATTTTGGCTATTGATGGACACAAAATGGCCATCTATATATCACCAATCCACTATTAAATAGTGCAACATACATTATCAAGAGTTTTGCCAAAAAAAAGAAAATCAAATTCTACACCCACAAAATCACACGGTTGTGATCACTTGATCGCATTGATCAACTTAAGATATGACAATATCACAGGCGTTGGATTCTCACCGTATGCATCTTATGCTATCCACATCCATATACATTCTTATGCAGTTTCTCTAACACATACATGACTATAAATAACATTTGCTCTTTTTTGGTGTTGAATCTAAAGAAACATGCATCTTTCATTTGCAGGTTCCAATGAAGCTAGCAATCTGAAGATGGAGATCTGAATCAAAACATAAATCATATGATTTGTTGGATGAGTTCAATCCAAATGCCTTTCTTCCTCATTCGTTTTTTGTTTTCTATAGCCAGTACATAACGTGGATAGTTGTATGTATACCATCTCCGTAGAAATAAGTATTATAATGAGAAGATACCTATTAACCTCCTCAACATTCTCTAGCGTGTGATGTACTATGGGTGTACTTCAGGTTTCAATTGCGATTGATTTTTTATTTTCTCCGTCTGATTCTTCTGATCACTATTTGGACCACTCTGTTCTCATCAAAGTTACTACCATATATCAATTGAATAACAAAACAATACAAAACTACACTAGAAAAATAAAAGTTGTGCAATTGGGAAATGGAAGAACTGTAAGGTAGAGATCAAGGGGCACAAGTTGTCCTTACAATGAATGAAACCCAAAGGACAATGTTAATGCATTCCCGTGACGGATAGAGAACATGAGCCAACCAGTGGACCAGAGCGGTTTCTTTTGGGACAGAATGAGATGTGTCTGAATAAGACGCTGATAATTAGAGACAGTGAAAGAGAGCATATATAAGGGGGAATAAATAAAGCCAAAACACACTCTCCCTCTCTCCGGGAAAATCACATCCAATCCTGTCCACTAGGAAGGTTTCCATGTCCCCAGTATTTACAGTAGCTAACTAGCTAACTGCATCATCAACATCAATTTGTTTCCACATTACATTTTTTACATGTGCTGTGTAACAACAAAAGCAGCTATTAAATATCTTCAAATGATATAAGAACATATTTGTAGCGTTAAGGGTGGAGTCAGAGAAAATATCAAGGTTAGTCATTCGGTTCCTTAGGTTTCGCATTAGGCTAATAAGGGAAGTTGTTTCACCTTAAAAACCATGTTAATTAGGATGAGTAAAGAGGTTTTACGGCACTCAATAACAATAGAGATCATGCCATACCTAATATTAGAATGATTTGAGATATAGATATATATCTAATGATGGTGTAGAAGTGAACTTGGTAACCCAGATGAAGATCCAGTGAATTATTAGCTTTTTCAATTCCAATATTCTTCTGTCATTGTTACTTGTCGTATGTAGACTCAGACAAGTATTTATAAAAAAGTTGTTAGATGGATATAGTAAAAACTATAAAGTTTCAGTCACATTATACCGGTGACAAGGAAGAATGTTTCACAATTTTAGAGCATTATTTTCTAAGCCAACTAAGAAACACCAGCTCCCTCTCTTCCTAAAACCATAGTTGCACGAAGTGGGAGAGGGGAGACGAGGTAGCGACAGCTCTATAGAAGAGTTTTAAGGTTGGGAGTGGGGCCGGGAGAGAACCCCAATAGGAGTTTCCTGCTACTATGCCTAACACCATTTTTTAAGAAACAAAGTGAACAATTGAATCGAAACCAATTAAATCATATTATCATTTTCACATACAAATTACATAACTAGACTAGACTTCACAGCCAAAAAGATCACCCAAATGTCACAATCAATCTTAATACATAAATATAACTGCCACGGTTTTCTTCTTCTTTTTTTTTTTCTTCCTAATTCCGGAATAACTAGTAATATCACAAGGGGCTTTATTTTTTCCATTCGCAGACAGTCTCTATTCCATATCTGAATAACCAGTAATATCACAAGGGGTTATATTTTTTTCATTCTCAGACAATCTCTATTCTCTCTCTCTCTCTCTCTCTCTGTGTGTGTGTGTGGAAAAAAAATTACCATAATTTGCTCATTTTCACATATGAATTACATAACTAGACTAGTTTTCAGAGTGAAAAAAGATCACCCAAATTTCTCAATCAATCATAATACATAAATATAACTGCCATGGGATATTTTTTTTCTAATTTAGGACTTATCGGTAAAATATCACAAAGGGCCTATATTTTTTCCACTCTCTCTCTCTCTCTCAAACTATGAAGAAACCATACTTACCTCTTCTATGCTATCAAGTTTAGCCCACTACAAGTTCCTGCCTTTCTATTCATTGCCTTAATGCTAAAGAAAGGCTGTTTTCGGTGTTTGGGTAAGCAGCTATGAGCCATACTTTTCCCTTCATTTTCAAGCCTCAAGTAATAAAGAGGGGTAGGACCTGTGGCCCTGTCTCATCTGGAGGCAAGATGCTCTGTAATTCTCTCTGCCTCAAGTGGGATAGGGAGAGATGGTTTTTTGCTTTTTCCCTTTCTTGAGGCCCACTTATGCTGACCTGGAATTTTCCCTTCTCACTTTTGACATGGTTGCATATTCAAGCACTCAAAAAGCTATAGAACCTAGAAAGATTCTCTGGGGCTATGTGGTGAATGTGAGTACTACTCTTGAGCCGATATTTATTGGGAGAAGCTAAGTTAATCTAGGGATTGGACTGTCTCCAGCCCGTAATTGGACTAGAAACAGGGCTCAAAAGTGGGCTCACAAAGCCCAACAACACCTCTTCAGTCCAATTGAGGACTGAAGAGAAACCATAGCCTTAATCTGGTACGGGTGTTGGATGCCAATGCCCCATCAAACCTTAAATTTATAGGTACTTAGACTTGGTAAAAAAGTATTTCACTCATTTTGTAACAATTATACAACAATATATATAATAATAGGGTCAAATACAATTATGTAAGAAATGTCCAACAAAAAGCATTGGACACATCCCACACCCTTGTCAAAGTTCCGGGCATCTAACACTGGTATTTTATTTATTTTGAAGAGTTTATGTAACTAAGTTATGGGTCTTGTTAATGACCGTCCATTGGGTGTTGGTTAAGGATCAAGTAATGCCAAAAACATAAAAATTACAATACACATTTTACATATTTCTGAACACTTTCATATATTTATATATATATTACATATTTTAATATACTTCATACACATATAGCGGTGGTTAACATTTCCCATATGTAATATCAGCCCCCAAAGTTGGTGTCTTTTCGCTCAGGACTCAAGTTTGTGTCTTTTAATTGGCAGGAGAATCCTAATGAATTCTCTGCACAACCTAAAGAATCGAATTCCTCTGTTTGCCAAAAAGGCGGAGAGAACAAACATAAATGTACTGCAACTTGATATCTTTCCGCCTCGTTAAGAGTTCATCCACAACCTACAAATCACACTAACTAATGTACTAAAAAAAAAAAAAAAAAACAAATTTAACCCAACAAACTTTCTAGGCAATACAAATGGATATGGACCATGCTTGGTCCTAAAGTGAACAATAAAGCCAAGAGACCTCGAGCATAATTATGAGCTACACCAATATTTGGGTTGCTATATTTGACTAACAAAGACAATCTCATAATAAAGTATATATGGAAAATTTTGAAACAAGCCTAGGCCCAAAGTTCTCTGCTAGGCGCAATTAAATTGACTACAACCAAACTGTCCAAGTTGGGGTTTCTTTTTCGGAGAATTATTGAGTCACATAACTGCAATAAACAACAATAGGGATACAATAATAAAATAAAAACCATATAAATTTATAAGAATTAGTGTCATATTGCATTTTTTATTATCTTTGAATGATATATTCGTATATATATAACATATAATAAATATATAAAATTATATATTTCATGCGTGTCCTCCTCGTGTCGTGTCCTGCATTTTTTGAAAATTAACGTGTCGGCGTGTCCGTGTCGTACTCGTGTCGTGTCACGTGTCCGTGTCCATGCTTCTTAGGTTCTTCGAGGTCACAAGTTCAATTATCCTCCCCCTCCAATGTACCAAAAAAAAATTACATGTTCTCCATATGCAAGTTCTTTCATAAACTTTGTTTAACAGCTTGAAAAGGTTGAACCGGGGAATTAATCTATGGTTAGAAGATTTCTCTATCAGGTTCATTAGATCGGAGACAAACAGTATAGAAGAATAATGCAAGAGAAACCAAAGTTCAAGATCAAGGAAAGTCTCCAGTCCGATTCGTTAGAACAGTTTGTTTTCTTTTATTTTATGTGCTTCTTTTTATGAGTTATCAACTCATGGGTTGGCTAACAGTATTTTCATTTAAAATGTCATGTGAGTCATGTAAATTGGCTTACTAACAACTAGTTATTCATTAAGGCAACTTTAGGCAGATTGCAGCTATAATATGACTCTAAGAAGCTCACTGCTGTATCAATTGTTATTCCTATTGGGAAAAGTATTATAAGAGTCATTCAGTAATTCTAGAATCTCAATTATCTTTATTCCCAGTTCATAAGTTTGCTATTATTTCTGTTTTCTCATTGATCATTAACATATAAATAATGAATTGATGAACTATCAACATATTAACGAAAGCAAAGAAACTTTAGAGCCAACTCATATGCTCTAGGATCTCTTTCAAGTGCTCTTCTCACCTATATAAGCCTACCATCAACATTACTATTTTACTTTTCAAAGAAAAAAGAAAAGAAAAGAAAAGAAAAAATGGTTCATTTGAAATTTAAAATATGCCAAAATTTACACATCCATCTTAGACTACATTTCCGCCAGGTACCTTTTTTCAAAAAGCAGGTTTTGTGAGTAAATAAGTCGAACAGAATGTAGTCACCGGAAACACTACTGATTCTTAATTGAATTATATAGCCAAGTATTTAACTAGAAAGAATCACTTTTAAATGGAAATTCTAAACCAGTGTGAAACAACATCACAACACCACTAATTCTGGACTCAAATGTGACAAATTTGGCAAGCATATGATTTCTCTAACTAATCAAGATAAGAATTTCCACAAGATTTGTGCTTACAATGATCTTTGCAGGCAACTATGATTAAGCAACTGTACAGGGTGTTGTAGGAGTTTCAAAGCCGAGGCTTTGGATGAGGGTGTATTAAGTGAGGATTAAGGGACCATAAGATTAAAAACACTCGAAGGTCCGAGTTTTATGGAGGCAAAGAAGCAGTACAAACGTCAGACTAGTCTAACAGGATTTGAGATGGCACAAAAGATGAGGCCAGTTGATAAGGAGTGATAACGAGTGAATGAATCAAATTTACACATTTGTTACTTGTGGATATTTAGATGGCTCAGATTTAATAAGAAGCCAGACAATGAGTTCTACTTCAATGCCTTTCAAACAATTACACAGTTTACACTCACCAATCATACATCTTTTAATAAAGAATATACATAATTCTTGTCTACGAGTAACAAAACTACAACCATTGATTCACATAAAATAGAAGCAAACTTGTCTTCATCACAACAGCTGCGAATACTCACAATGAAACAAGGTTTCAAATAGATGTCGAATCTGTTTCATGTCTTCTTTCAAGTCAACTAAATTACAGATTCCTCTCCAGCTTCTGCCAGTTCCACATCACAATTTTATAAAATTTTGTAATTATTGAAAATCACTGAAAGGAAATCTACAGATTGATTTAGTTAAGACAAAATACCTTTGCCTGGAACAATAATAATGGATGCTGTTTTACAGTTGTGGAAACAATACTCGCTCACACTTCCCTGCAATACACTGAAGAGAAAACTACCATTCATATCAGAGAAAAAGAAAGGGAGAGACAGAGAGAGGGAGGAAGGAGGGAGGGTGAGAGTGACCTTTGGATTAAGGTTCGGCCTCTGGTACCCATTACAACAGCAGCAGGTTTTATCCTTTCTGATTCCTTGCAAATTGCCTTTCCTGCATCTCCTTCAACAACACGAGCCAATGTCTTCACCTATTATCATATAAATTATTCAAAATCTATTGATTATAAAGCTAGAAACGCCCAAGTTATCAAGGTATGGTTGACAACAAAGTTTTACTTGGTTAGAATATCATTTATCACATAGCTTCGTAAGGACTATTCCACACAGGCTTGGTTTAAGTATTCCATTTGTGTTATGCAGATTCCCTGAACTAACTTCTTGGGACAGCTTGGTATGAGAAAAAGGTCGATGGTTATTAACAAATTGCACTAATATCTAGCGAAGGTCTTGCTTCAAATTTTATGTTGATTTAAGATAATCAACCCTTTTTGCATTTACCTCATCAATTCTGATCACAATTTCATTTTTGAGTTATGTAACAAGTTTAGTGAAACCAATTTAAATTTGTGAAATGTAGAATTAAGGTTTGTGATTAAAAAAATAAGAAATATAACCATTCTATTGCGAAGAATTGGAAAGAGGGGCAACATTTTTTTTGGGTGTCCAAACATGCTTTCCCACAAGTCCCTAGACTCTAGTTATGCTAGGAGCTTCCAATGAGAGATTTATTCAATTGTACAATTTTTATCTTGTGTACAACAATACTTTCCCATTCCTCTTTCTTTTTCATAAGTAATTGGTTTGGCAACAAAGAAAGTATATGATTTTGCTCCGTCAACTACCACAAGTATAGGATTTAAATTTTGCATCTAATGCTATTTTTATTCCTGCGGTGGCTAGTAGTGCTTTCTTCTTTTTTCTTTTTTCTTTCGCACTGTGAAAGAAATATTCTTTGATAAACTTATTGCCTTTGAATCGTATTCATATTCATTAAAATGTCTTGGTTCAAAACACATAATGTTAAAAACTAATGTGAATGTTGTCTATTTAAATTCATTATATTTTTAACAGTTTTTTCAAAATATTCATATTTGTCCCTTTTGTTTATTTTTTATTTTGCTTCCAGCAATCATATATTAAATATGAAAGGTCATTCATGTAACAATGTTGAGCATTTACATTACACCAATTTGCTTCAATTTAGAGGTCATGAGCAATGTACCCAATCTATTATGCTGGATCATTGTCAAATTTAGTGCCTAAAATAAAAGCAAAGGGCAAAAGTATACCATACAAAGGGTAAGTGACACGAGTATCCTTCATGATGTTTGCTACCATGTGTATGGGGTAAGAGTTTCTGGACCTGAACTAACTCATCTAGTTATCCTTCATATAATTGGGTTACATCTGTGACCATGAGCAAGTTCTTGCTTCTACTTTCACAAACTAACGCAAAGCCCAATTCAAACTCTCACATATAAACCAATAACATTTGAATTCAGAAGCAACTGGCAGCTATCAAACTCAAAACTATATCAAGCATAGCTGAACAAGTAGCAGTAATTGCCTGGTGAATAACTAAAAACACAAATCTCACCAAGGGAATTGCAGGCTCTAGAAACCCTCTAAGTAGAAAGCAACACTGATTGTTGATTTGTCTGCCCCTTTTGTTTCTTTGCTTGCTCTCAAGCCACTAAAGAGAGTAACGAATCTATTCAGAAAAACAGCGTGCCAAGAACATAAAGGAGGTGTATGATTGGCAGTATGTCATGGATCATACACGGAATATAGTAAGAGTCCTTTTGGGTTTTTTCCCTTTTCTTCTCTCTTCTATTTCAATAGAGAATTTTCAATAGAGTCCTACAGTCCAAGATTGAATTCTAAAATTTTGCAAATTTCTGACACTGAAATTTTCCATCCAAAACTTTAATAAGATATGCGTGTGGCATGTATACATTAAAATATATGCACATGGCCAAGCTTTTTGTTAATCGATGTGGGATCACAACATACCATCACGATGTCCATGGTAACCCTATCCCTCGACCCAATGGTAACCCTATTCCTTCTGGCTGTTTCACTCTATCACTATTGGACACCTTAGTAGGTATCTAATCTATAGATGTGTTCAATCTCATACCCAACGTAGTGGCTAGCTCTGATACCAAATAATACAAAAACTCAGTCTTAAACTGAATTTTCAAAATTGAAATTCCTCATTCAAGTTCTATAATATTCTATGAAAACAAAACAAATGTAGATGGTGAAAAGGAAGATAAAACACACCATGGCGATCTCAAAAGCCTCCACAGCAAGCTTCTCCATAAGGGCCTGAGTGGCCTCGTACACAATGTTGTTCTTCAAACCTAATTTCAAAACCGCAATTTCTAAATCAACAATTGAGATCCAAAACAGCTTTTCACCAATTCAAAATACCTATATGTCTAGAGAGAGAGTGTGTGTGAATGAGAGAGAGAGAGAGAGAGTACTGGATACAGCGTGAACGAGATGAACGGTGTCAGCGAGGCGGCAGAGGTGGACGAGGGCCCAATCGAAGGCGTGCTTGCTGTTGGGGCCATGATCGACGGCGATGAGGATGTCGCGACCGCGACGTCTCTCGCCGGTTTCTCTCTCCAGTTCCGGCTCCGCCACCACCGGTATTAGCGACGGTAGCTTCACTTCTCTCCAATTGTACTTATCTTCCTCCATTAACGTCTCCATTCTCTCTCTCTCTCTCTCGGTGTCTGCTGATCAACTGATCAATTATTAGTTGAGTGATTCGTGAATTGTATAATTAGAAGTGAAATAAACAGCAAAGCCGCCGTGTTCAAATTGTCTTTCTCCCTCAATCTACCCCCATTGCTCCGTCAACTACCACAAGTATAGGATTTAAATTTTGCATCTAATGCTATTTTTATTCCTGCTATATAAGCCTACCATCAATTTTCTCACCAAAAATTTAAAAAGTGCATTTATTTAAAACATTTCAAACAACCTCTTAAATGGCCGAGTTATTATTTGTATTTGGTTTAAATTTTTTGAATTAAACTAATTTTTTGAAATTTTTTATATTTTTTATATTTTTTGTTTTTAATAAATATTTTTAAAATTTAAGGTAATTTTTTTTACTTTTTAGATTTACCTTATTTAGATTTATCTAAAAAAATAAAATATTTATAAAAAAATATTTTAAAAAATTAATAAATATATAAAAATATAAAAATTATATTAAATTCTCATTTTTTTTTGGTATTTAACAAATTTTTTAAAAAAAATTTCACAAATATTATATTTTTTAAGAATATTTATATTAGGTGCGTTTAAAAATTAAAAAAATTATTTAGAATATTAAAAAAATTTAATAAAAATTAAAAAAATATGAAAAATAAAAAAATTCAAATTTCTAAAAAATAAATCCTAAAATAGAAACCAAAACATGCTGATTATGATTGATAAAAAATAAAATAAAATTTATAAATTTATATTAAAGAAGTAAAAAATATAAAAAAAACATAATAAATTATATTAATGAAAGATATGATTCACTGATATGCCTAAATTAATCAATAATTTTTCGTGATTGTGACTGGTGTTTTCTCACCAACCAATCATATACATAGTTCGTGGGGCAATGCTATAGACCACTAATTTACCATCACTAATACTACCACTAGTGAGGTGGCAATTGAAAAAAAAAAGAAAAAAAAAAAACAAGGCACAAAACATGTGGCAGTGGGTATTAGAGCTACCACTAATTAGTGATCTAAAGCATTTTTGATAGTTCATGGGTGTGACTGTTGTTTTCTCAGCAAGCAATCATATTGTTCGAAATAATGTTTTAGAGCACCAAATTGGGAGCTCTAGAGCATCACTAATGATGTGGTACAGTGGCCCCCACCAAAGTGATGCGATGTTTTGGCTTGAGTTTGTTTGTTTGTTTTTTTTTTTAAACTCATTAGAGCTATTAGTGATCTAAAAGTTAGTGGGAGGAATCACCACTCTATTGTTCGTGGGTGTGACTGCTTCTCAGCAAGCAATCATATATATAGTAGATATTTGAAAAGTCGCTATTTTAGTATATTATTTTAATTTTTAATTATTTTAGAAGGTTAAGGTTTTTATGTTTAAAAAGATAATTGAATTTTTTTATAGTTAGATGTGATATTTGTGAGAAAAAAAAATTATAAATTTAATATGATATTTTATTTTATTAATTATTTTAATTTATTTTATTTTTTAATATTATTTTAATCAAAAAAGTCAAAAAAAAAAAAACTATTTCCTAAACACCCCCATAGAGATAAGGAGGGGAGGGGAGGTTTCCTTACTTTCTCTTCTTGTTTTCTTATTTGTTTCCTTACTTTCTCTTCTTGTTTTCAATTTTGATAATCTAAATTGTTCACATTTTAGATTTTATTTAGTATATTATATCTGTAAAAAATTAAGTTGATCAAATATCAGAAAAGCATGTGTTTGAAAAATTATTTATTAATTTTTTAAAAAAAATAATTTTTAGTTTGATGATCCGAATACATAACTTCTGATATCTAATCAATTTGATTTTTTACAAGTATAATATACTCAACAAATCTTAAAATATAAATGAATCGGATCATCAAAATTGAACCTAAAAGTAAGCCCCAATAACCTAACAAGTAAGAAGATAAGGAGAAAATTTTGATTTAGGACAACCAGCCTTTTGTGACTTTTGAGGGGCTTATTTCAGCTCATATAATTTAAATCTTTTATTCTATTATAAAATATAATATTAAATAAATTTTCATGTATGGAATTACATTAATTAGATTTTTTTTTTCTGAACGAGATATTATAATTATATTTGCATTAAAGTTGAGCCATAAATATTATCTTGAGTCATTTTACAAAATAAATAATTTAAATAATTTCGTTAATCACAAATTTAATTCGAAAGAATTATAAATTCATACATAAAGCTGGTATGTATCATGTTTCAAAACATTATGGCTCTCTTTGGTATCCAGAGCTTATTTTGAACATAATATTTGTCTAGGAGATTCAATCATAATTCCACACTCATTTTTGAAAACTCGGTCGAAGGCGGAAAAATTTAGGCTAACCGGTCGTCTCACCGGACGTCCGGCGGGTTGATCGGAACAGTACAAATTTTTTATTTTGTATTATTTTTTTTTTGACATATGTTAATTTTTATATATTTAAAAAAAAATTCAAAATTTTTAAATTTTTTTATGAGCTTGAATAGAATTTTTAGTTATGTGTTTGGTTATGAGTTGTAAGTTTTTGTATCAAATATCATATGTTACATCAAAAATTCCCTACTCAATTCCAAACTCTTTTCAAAACTCTTTCACCAAACAAATTTTCTACACTCAAATTATAATTCCAAAACTCACAAACTCAAAATACAACTCCTACACTCAAATCATATTTAAAAAGTTCTACTAAATGCAACCTATAATAATTTTACTAACACTTTTTATGGGTCAAATAATTGTGAAGTTTGGTTCCTCGAGCTCCCATAATGAGTTTAACTTTGATGATCCCATCTGTCTATATTTTAGTTTTAAGTCTTTATGTATAAATCATTTAACAAAAAATAAAATATTAATTATATCCGATAATCAAATACACATGGTTTTGTAAAAAAAAAAAAAATAGATAGCTCATTGTAGGGTCAGAAATTAAACCCCAAATTAAGTATGGGCCTAAGTGTTGAGGTCGCCATTCTGAGACGACTAGGAATGAAAAAAAAGCATGTGCTAAAACCTAAGGGAAGTGGGCCAACAGTGGGCCGAAGTAAATCCTACCCGCCAAGGGTCCAAACAAACTCCACAAAGGGAAATGCCTAGGTCAAGTTACAGAGGCAACACATGCGACGGTCAAGTTGCGAAAGGGAACACTTGCGGCGGTCAATTTGCTGAGGCACTTTGCCTCAGCGCTACCATTCCCCAATAATGTCTATTTAGCCGCCGACTAAAGTTGCTGAGGGAAAGGGAAGAGAAACCCGAAGCAACTAAATTGCAGAGGCAACACTTGCGGCGCCAAGTTGTGAAGGCACTTTGTCTCAACGCCGCCATTCCAAATATTGTTGGTTTCACCACTACCTGGAGTTGTTGAGAGGAGGAGAAAATCGAAGCAACTAACTTGCAGAGGCATTACTTGCAGTGCCCAAGTTGCAAAGGCACTTTGTTGGCGCCGCCATCTCTAATGCTTGGCACTGATAGTAGGCCCCAAGACATTACCAGCCTAAGGTTGATAGCAGGCGCAAAGTTTATTACATTAGCGTTGATAGCAAGCCCTAAGACTTACTGGTTGGAGCTAATAACAAGCCTAGAGATACCAGTTTACCGCGGCAACCCCACGAAGATGAGAACAGGGAAACTCGATCGCAAGGGACTCCCTTTTCATTTACCGAGGTCATGAACCTCCCTTAGCCGCACAGGCAGGACTAAGGAAGCCCCCTTGGGCTTGGTACTAAGACACAACATGGCTGATAGCAGGCTTAGCTGTGGCCTTTGCCTTGGGAAGCTGGGGAGTTTGTGGTTAGGTAGTTAAGAGTGGAGGCTTCGTTGAGGTGAACACGAACATAGTCAATAGTAGATTAATGGAGTCCTAAGAATGCATGTACTGGCCAAATAGAACTAAGAAGGCAAGTGAAGTAGCAGGGTTTACTGCTGCAAGTGCACTTGCTGATGTTCGAGCTAATAAGGCAAGTGCAGTGGCAAACACTCCCGCTGCAACTGCACTTGCTGAGACTCAAAAGAGAGTTGCAGCGCCAAACACTCTCGTCGTAACTACACTTGTTGAGGGCTCAAAAAAGGTAGTTGCAGAGGCAAACATATATTACACAGTACATGCAGATGGACACATGGCACCTTCAGCTTAGTGGCTTAAGGCAGAATATTCCATGTGATCCTCTAGGACACATGTCTTCTCTCAATTTGGCCACTTGGTATCCTCTTGGTACCAAAGAAAAGCCTATAAATAGGACCCATTTCCCAAGGTTCAAGAAGAGGAATTTTGGCGATTTGGGAGAGATGCTGCCCATTTGTGCACTGCCATACATTTCTTTTTGAGCTACCTGCTTCACCCTCACCCAACTGCTCACTCTCCAACTTTCTAAACAGTTGCTACTGCTCATCCTCATTCCATTCTACCATTGTTGGACTATTAGCATAGTTTTGCCTCTCTAATCACCTTCCTAACCTTTAACCTGCCTCCATTTCTGGCGACTCCACTGGAGAGGCTGCTTTGTTGATGGTTCATACCCGCAGTGGCTTACATACTTCACTGGAAAAGATGACAGGAGATGAAGTTCAGCAACCTCTATGGTAGCAAGGCTCTTCCAATGGTAGAACAACACATGCTGAGGACCATGACCACAGTGTTGTGGTTGAGGCGATCCAGTCACTCTAGGATACGCAGATAGAGATCCTGGCAGCTTTGCAAACTCTCACTGAGACTATTATGGCCATGGCGTCCAGACCAGCTCCAGTCCAGGCACCTCTGCCTGTAACAGTCCCAAACCCAATGTTTAACCTGTTCATTCGGAATCAGGCTCCGATCCAAGTGCCTCTAGTGGTACCCCAAGTGAACGGTACGGACGCTGGTTCAGCTACCCAAGAGCAGATTGGACCATTCTAGTCTACTCACTTTGTTACTCAAGCCGATATACAAGCTATGCTTGAGTAAGAGCGCAACAAGAAACAACTACCATCTCTCCCCGACCTAGATATGAAGCCCCCATACTCTCAGGAGATATTGGTTATGCCATACCCAACTGGGTATACAGTATCCAAGTTTATCAAATTTGATGGGAAGCAAGGCAATGCCAGAGAACATGTAGTGAGGTTCATTGG